GAGTTGTATGAGCCCTTAATAAAATGATTTTTTTTTAAAGGGGGGTGATCTTGCCTTCTTTCCTCACCCAGCGACTTCTCACACCCCTCAGACCTTGCCTTTTGCTTCCCCTCCATCCAATGAGATGAACAATTGTCATCCGACTCCCTCCCGGGACCCCTGCCCCTGCCCCTGCCCCTGCCCCTGCCCGGTGGGGAGTGAGCACCTATCCACTTCTTCTGCACCCAGTTTACAGAAAATCACCTGGAATCTCTGAAACATCATCTGAAGCAAATTTTAAATCCTTCCCCTCCACCCTCAAGTTCTTTCTGTTGGCAGGGGGGGTGTGTGTACCCTTGGGAACCCATCACTGCAGGCCACCACTGTCTCTTGTACACCCAAAAGCCAGTCAGTCTCCGGGTCTTCCAGTCGAGCCAGTATTCTATCACCCACCAACCCACTAGCTTTCTCCTCCAAAGTGCCCTGCTCACACCTCCTCCCCTGACCCCTTCTTGCAGCCCAACATGCCGAGACACACTTGCCAGGGGCAGTGCTAACAAGGAGCCCACAGCTCCTGCGCTCACAGCAGCCCGAGGAGGAGCCCGGGAGAGGAGGGCGGTCGCAAGAGCCCTCTTGTCCCGCTAGTCTAGCAGGTGCTACTGACCTGCGCAGGCTCCGACTCCGAGAACAGAGCCCGGCCCGAGACGTCCTCCTGGTTGCCATCAGGGATGGGTGGCTTCCTTGCAGGCTCAGTGGGGCTGGCCTCCCTTGGCGGCGCGATGGGCAGCTGCACAGGCAGGGGTCTCTCAAGCTCGGCCACCGCACCAGAGAGGTTGCGTGGCTCCTGCCGAGGGCCCCCGGGCCGCTCAGCCTGGGCCTCCTTGTCCTTAGGGGCAGGCTCCTGCCGAAGGCAGGCCGGGGCCACCTTCTCCCCTTTCTCCATAGACTTGATCTGGCTGGGGGTCAGCGACTGGAACTCGGCCTCTGGCCCCTCGCCCCGGGACCGCTCGGCATTGATCTTCCAGAAGGCAGCCTCCTCCTCCTTCCGCACGGGCCCCAGTGCCTCTGGGCCAGGGGGCTTGCTGCCCTGCGAGCCCTTGAGGACCTGTGCAGCGCTGCCCGGGTCTTGGACTGACAAGGAGGAGATGCTGAACTCCATCTGGCTCTGGCGGAGGGGGGTGCGGGCGAGGAAAGAGACAAGAGTGCAAACCTTACAGTTAGCAGTCAGCCCTACCGCTCACGCCTCCTTCCCGCCAACAATGACTGTCCCCGCTTGCTGGACACGGCACACAGTGTCGCAGGTGGTGAGTTTCACAACTGCTTCCACACACCTGAAGCACAAGGCCCTTCGCATCCTGTCCCAGTCCACACTACCCCCATGAATTGTTCCAATGGGGAACGCTCCCTGCTCAGCAAGCAGTGGCCTCCCCTGTCTGCTCAAGGTGACCTCAGCATCTTCCTATAGGAGCCGCCGAGAAAGGACGCCTATCGCACAGAGCAAGCTGTGTCGGCAGCTCAGCCTAACAGAATTGAGCTTCAACTCCGGGCAGCCCCATGGGTGTCAGAGCTGAACTCTGCTCCAATGGTTGACTTTTCAGAGGTAATCACCAGGCCTTTCTTTCGGGGTACCTCTGGGGGCACTCAAACCTCCCACCTCTTGGGTAGCAACCAAGTGCATAATGATTTGTTACCCCTGGACTAACACAACCCCACCCCCACC